CCTCTCCCGTGGTTTCTTGTAAATCAGGGGATCTTGGGGCTGGTTGGGGTCCAGCTGCATTTGCTCAGTTGCCACAGTGCCTCCCATGACTGAGCCATGGCAGACCCCAAAAATGGCTTCTGGGAGTCAAGAGGCAGCCCCCAGCCCACGGCGATGCTCCCGGCAGTTGCAGATTGTAAAGGCTGGGAGACTCTCCTAGTAACAACCCACAGCAGCATTTAGAAGCTGCCCGCAAGGTTACAGTACGTGGAGCTAACTGGTCTATCTCCATGGAAACACGTACCGTTTCTCACCTAGAAACTGGTTCTTGCCCTGACTCAGCCATCAAAGACGCGGCACATGCACGAGTCTTTGGTGGCCGTGAGGGATTTTATGGCCATTACCCTTTTGGAGATGGATCCAGGGCTAATAGTAGTGATAGTGAATAGCCAGGAAGGTCTGGCTGGACCAGCAGGGGCAGAGTGGCTCACGTGTGGGGAGGCGGTCTGCCCCTGGCTGCCCCTGTGAGCGCCAGCCCTGGGGTGACTCCCCTGTCCGAGGCGGGCCGCCCGTTCTCGGAACAGCGAAGGCCTGCAGCAGCTCCCTCAGGGCCTGGCCAGGGCAGGCAGAGGGACTGTGGTCAGAAGGTCAGTGGGAAAATAATCGTCTTAAGAAGCATCGGCTCGCTTGACCTAGGCAGGAAAATTGCCCGTTGTGAAATTTTATAATGCGGTTTCATTTCATAAAGAAACATCTGTTTACAGAAACACGTGTTTGAGTTTTATTCTTCTTTAGGTATATCAACTTGGTATGTTTGTGATAGAAAATGATTTCTGGGATTAGAACCCTGATTTGTGACATTGCATCTGCAGCAGAGACCCGACTTAGAAGGCTTGACTCGAGAGGGTCCCTAAGGGACCCACGGGCAATGGACTCAGCGGGGAGTCCTCCTGGGCCTCTGGGCTTTGCCCCCCAGCGTGAGCAGGTTAACAGGAGCGTCCTCCACTGCACAGCCAAGTGGGCCCCGGGGGGGTCCCCGCCTGGGCAGCCTGGGGGGTGCGAGACTGTGTGTTGGGGGCTTGGAGCCTCGGGGCGCAGGTCTGCTGTCTCGCCAGCTGCGCGCCCTCAGGCGCCCGCGTTTCGCTGTGTATGACACGCACCCGCATTTTTGGCCCAACTTTCAGGAAAAAAAACTTTCATTTTAATGTTTTAATTCAATTATTTATTTGTTTATACTTAGAAACAAAACCAATGATCATATCCCAGGATATTATTTTGCATATGGGTATGGTTATTGCTGTCTAGAGTTTCACTGTTAATGCATAAGCATAAATAAAAGAATTAAAAGCATTTATATAGATACGGATTAGTACTACCCATGTATAATGTGCATCCTTATTTTTCCCTCAAAAATTTGGGCAAAAAAGTGAGCATTATACATGGCAAAATACGGTAGTTGGTAACTTCTGTTGGGCCTTAGTTTTCTTATCTGTGGAAAGAGGCACAGTGGTAAGAGAACTTAAAGGGGTAGCGCACAGAAAGGCGCTCCACGACATCAGTCCCTCCCTGCACCCTCTTCATGGCACATCTGTCTGCGGTGACTGCACTTCCCTCCTGCCACACTGCCCAACAGCCCCGTGACCCCGACCCCACCCGCTATCGGCATGTGGGCGAGGACTTGCAGAACCCCCGTCGGGGGCTACAGATGCTTATAGACCCTCTGGGAACAAGCACTGCCCACGAAGGGGAACATCACACGCTCGGTATCAGCACCACCCAAGCTTCCAGCAAGTGGAGGGCTGGTTCCCGGGCCCGTTGCAGGCCCAGGAAGACCTTGCTCCCCTTACCTATTGCCTCCAGCCCCTCTGCTCTTGTGTCCATTCTGCCGCTTCTCACCCCCACCCCCAGGTCATCTTTCTCATTCTCTCACGTGGGAGACCCAGGCTCTAACTACACGGGACATGTTTTGGGTGCCTGGCTCTTCTTCACATGACCCTCAAAGACTCCCCAGACACAGCTCTCACAGAAACAGGAATGGCCCCCTCAATCCTGCCTCCCGTTCTTTTAGCTGATTGGCCCAAAGATAAACACCTGACCCAAGGGCGGCCAACAAAATTCTTTTCTTTAGAATTTTTGTTTCTCCAAGAGATACGGAAGGAAGTCCCCACTGGCTGTGGTGAGCCAAGCTGAAAGTCACTCTGGCTCTGACTGCCATTCTGGGTCATGGGAAGCCAGCAGACAGAGAAGTGCAGGTCTGGGGAGAGCAGGGGAGCAGAGCGACCCATAAAGAGGGCCCCGTTGCCCTGGGAAAAGAACCACGTGGCTCTGGTTCCTGATGGCTTTCCCTCTCTTGTAAAGTGGGGTTTCATCTCATACATGGGTTCTGTAGGATTCTAGCATCCTTACAGTATCCCTGCTTCACTTGAACAAATTTGAGTAAGTTTCTGATCTTTGTGATGAAAGCAACCATGACAAAGGAATGAGAAAAGGTGTCTACTCTTATCCCTCCTATTCAACATTATAATAGATGCCTTTGCCAGTGCAATAAGGTAAGAAAAACTAAATAGCCGGCATGAAGATTGGAAAGGACTAATACTGTCTTTATTCACAAATGGCAAAGACTGTGTGCATAGTAAATCCAAAGGAATAATCAAACTATTAGAACTAATAAGTGAATTTATCAAGGTCATGGGATACTAGGTAACCATGCAAAAATGAATTATTTGTAAACATACTAATAAACAAATTAAAAATGAAATCAATAAACATTGAGTTTCAAACTAGGATCAGAAGCATTAAATACCTAGGAACAAATGTAATTAAAATATGTGTAAATCCTCTACACTAAAAACTACAAATAACTGCTGGATTAATTTAAGGAATATCCAAATAAATGGAAAGTTAGGACATGTTCATAGATTGAACAATTTAAAGTGCCAATATTCAGATGTCAATATCTCCAAATTTATCTGCAGTGATGGTGCAATCTTAACCAAAACCTTAACAGACTTTTTTTTGGAGTAGACATTGACAAACTGATTCTAAAATTTGTATGGAACTACAAGGACTTAAAATAGCCAAGATCATCTTAAAAAAGAACAAACTAGGAAGCAGATTGTGAGACTTAGCATAAAGCTACAGTTATTTAAGACAGTGTGATATAGACATAAGGGAAAACAATTAGATCAATGAAACAATAAAAGTCTGGAAAAGACCCACATGTTTGCAGTCAGTAGATTTTCAAAAAAGAAAAAAGCAACAGTGTAATTTACTTGGGAAACAGAAGTTCTTTTTCCTGACATGAGAGCAACTCCTATGCATGTGGACCACAGGCCTAAATGGGAAAGGTAAAGTACAAAACTTCTATGAGAAAAACACAGGAGAACATCTCTATGGCCTTGAAGTAATCATATATTTCTTAGGTAGGATGATAAAGGACAAACGATCAAGGAAAAACATTGATAAACTAGTCTTCAACAAAATAAAAACTTTCTGCTCATTAAAAGAGAAAAAAAATTAAGAGATAATCCACAAACTGGTGGGAAGTATATATATCTGACCAAGAACTTGTGTTCAAGATATATGAGAAATCCTACAAATTACATTAAATAAAAAATAGGCAAAACACTTAACTTGGAACTTCACAAAAGAAGATGAATGGCCAATAAATATATGGAATGGCGCTCAGCATAGTAAGTTATTAGGGAAACACAATTTAAAACCACAGCAAGACACCACAGTATCTTAGAATGGATATAGCTACAAAGACCGGCAATTCCAAGCATTGGCCAGGTAGAAGTGTAAAATAGTAGAACCATTCTGAGAAATTGCTTGGCTCTCTCTAGTGAAGTTAAATATGCACCTCTCCTAGGACCCATAGCATCCACTCCTGTGTACACACCCCAGAGAAATGGGTGCACATATCCACAAAAAGACTTGTCTCAGTACATTCATAACAGCTATTTATAATAGTCAACAACTGAAGACAACCCATTTATTTATCCATAGAAGGATGGATAAGCAAATTGTGGTAATACTTCTGATCAATAAAAAGAATAATCTGATACACATCCATTAATGAATCTTGAAAATATTGTGTTGAGCAAACTAAGTCAAACACCATGGGGCTCACACTGTATGGTCCCATTTATATGAAGTTCAAGAACCCGCAAAACTAATCTAAAATGCATCTCATAGGTGGAGGTGGCCATGTGACCCAGTTTTGGCCAATGAGATATACGTACTAATTGTTGGGTGGGCTTCAGGGATGCTCCTTAAAAGCACAGACTAGCCTGGCATATGGCCTCCCCCGTTCTCCCCCCACCTCCCTGGCTGTCCGTTCTCCCTCCACCTGAACGTGGCTGTGAGGGCTGCAACCTGGGCAGTCACCTTGGCGAATGTCAGGGTAGAGGCTCGGAGACTGAGGGCTATCACCACAACCCTCCAAACTTTTTTCACTTAAGCTGTGTTATTTAGGGTTTTTGGTTGGCTGTTTGGTTTTTGGTTACAAGCAGCTCAGTGCATTCCTAACTGATACAATACAGGAGCACAATTAATAACTCTTCATCCGGTCATAGTATAGATTATTTTATAAAATATTTAGTAACATGGAGAAGTGTTTGTGACACACCATTAAACAGTTTACAAGACTGAACGTATAATAAGACCCTGTTTTCGGAAGAGAAAATATGCATAAAGAATATAGGAAAAAAGACTGGAAACAAATACAACATAGTAAAACCTCTCTGGGTGGCGGCAATATGGTGATTTTTCTTTTTTTTTTCCTTCCTGCTTCTTAATGTATGTGATACCTACAATTTCCTAGTTTTGTGACAGAAGAGTAACAATGGGGCTATTTTTTTTTAAAAAGGAAATAGTGGAGATGTTTAAAACATGAGCAACTAAAAGTTACCCCTTTTTTTTTTAACACAAGACACCCTCGACCCCCCTCAAGATTCTGCACAAAGGTCCCTGCTGCGTCTGGTCACGGACCGGCCCCTCCGGGATTCAGAGTGTCTCACCTCGTTCTCTTGGCTCCCGGGTCGGCCTGTGTCCCTGTTCGCAAAAGAGGCCTTCTGCTCCGGGAGAAATTCAAGGCCGGGGGCTCTTCTACAGGTTTCCCTTTTTCCGGTGAATCTGTGACATTTAAGAAATGTAGCAAATTAGAAAATGTGCCCCTTTTCCAGGTACTAGGCTCTATGACTAGGTCAGGAGCAACTGTACCCCAGGAGGAGAAGGCGGGGACTTGAAGAGGGATGTTTGTCCTCTTGCACCGCCCCCGTTCCCGCCCCCGAGGAATGTGGCACACCTGGTGCTATATTTGGTGACTTGGATGTCATCTCTGTGAAAATTAGAACTATGATACAAGACAGTTCATATACAGGCACACGTACCTGCACACATGTCTTCATACGATGCATACATACATACATGGAAAAAGGAATACTGGAAATGAGGCTGCAAACGTCGATGGAAACCTAGTGATGTCTCAGATGGCGCTAAAACCATAACCATTGGTGTTATTGTTTCTATGGGACAAGAATCATTGGCAATGCATCAGTCCTTCAACAGCTAACTTTACAATGTCCAAGTCCTAATCAATATTAAATAAGTCACTTCCCATAGTGTCAGATCACCTTGGGGAAGGGGGCTTCGTCAATGCCCCACTGTGACTTTCTAAGGGCGCCCACTTAGCTGGTGACACAGGAGACGTCCTCGCCTCTCAGACCCAAATCCCGAACTGTGAACCCAGAGCGCAAGCCTGTTTTTATTGTTAAGGAGTAACAATAAAAGAGTAAGGTAAATAAGAATCAAAATTGCTTCGTGTGTTTCCTTTTGCCATGCATTCTTTTGGGACCGGGTTCTTTTTTCCAGTTTTGTAGAATAATGGATGTCGCAGCCACCTTTTATTGTACTTCACAGTCTCATCTTGACAACCAATCCATATGTCCCCTGGAAAGATGAGTAAGTCTCATGACTGACTCACATTCCTAAAATTATTTAAGACAGAGACCGCACTATTTTCTTTTTTTCAGTCCCACGGCCCGGTGTCTCAGCGGCAGGCAGCGCGTCTGCCTGCCCCCCACAGGCTGAGCAGAGGACTCTGGGTCAGGAAGTGCAGGGCTGCCTTGGGCAGTTAACTCCCAGGCGTCACTTTAAAAATAAAACTGAGTCTGATGAGAACATTCCTGGTGTGGACACAAACGGCGTCTTGGGGGCCATTGCAGCCGACCGGCGTCAGCATGTTCACCCGGCTCCGCTCAGAGGCCAGGAGCTCGAGCCTCTCTCCCTGCGACCCGTTGCCTCTCCCGCCTCACCCCACAGCCAGCCCCCCATCCACCTTCCCTCCTGCTCAGGGAGACCCCAGCCCCGCCGGGCAGCTGTGTCACTCTCCTCTCAGATTTCAGGTCTCTGGCCCCCGGGCGGCCCAATGAGGCAGCCACTGGCCACGTGTGGCTGTGAAGCTGCATCAAATGTGGCGAGTGTGGCGGAGGAAGTAAACGCTTTTTTTTTTATCTTAAGTTGATTTAAATTTATAAAAACTGGTACTCAAGTCAGTTATTGGAAAACTTTTGAGGGTATTTGGAACATCTGGGTATGTAAATCTATTTTTCTGACTGTACATTTTATGGAATCTAAATCCAGTTTAAGTCTTTGCAATGAAAATGTAGCTTGTAAATTGAAAGGCACTGTGAATATAAACTGTTCAATAGGTTTCAAAAGCTCAGTGCAAAAAAAATTGTAAGATATCTCATTACTGATTTTTACTTTTTTTTGTTTATTGATTTTGGAGAGAGGAAGTGGGAGAGAGACAGAGAGGCATCAGTCTGCCGTTCCCCTTATTTGCGTGCTCACCGGTGGATTCCTTTATGTGCCCTCACCAGGGACTGAACCAACAAGCTTGGCATATCGGGGACAACGTTTTAACCAACTGAGTGACCCGGCCAGGGCTCATCGCTAATTTTTGCATTGATTATTAACTACATGATGAAATGACAATATTTTTGGATGTATTGCATTAAGTAAAATGCCTTGTTAAAATGAATTTTACCCATCTCTTTTTGCTTTGGCAATGGGATTGCTGGAAAACTTAAGATGACGTGTGGCTCACACCGTATTTCCGTTGGACAGAATTTCCCTAACTGTCCTCCACATCTGCACAGGCGCTGGGACCAGAGGCATCTGAACGCCAGCTCACGCCGCATCACTCCCTAGCTGTGCGCCTTGGAGTGGGTGACTCAATCTCTCTGGGCTTCATTTCTTTTAAAATAAAAAAAACAACTGTTGAATGGGTGTGGTAAGGTCGCCCTGGCAAGGCCTGCCTGGCACAGCCGTTGTGCCTGTCTGTGCTCAGCCAAGTTAGTGCCTGTTGCTTTTCTGTCCACGTCCCTGCGCACCCTTCGAGACACGTCTAAACTTGCATCTTCTCGGGGGATCCTACCTCACTCCCCATGAAGGGTCTAGTTCCTTGCCTTGACCTCTCACCAACTTTGACGCACTGCTTGCTGTAAAATGACACCAGTACAGCCTTGCGGATTCCTCAAGGACAGAACCTCCCACTTCCTGTGTGTGTGAGCTTTTTAATTGATGGAAAATGTCACATACGCACAAAGTTAGGGGAGTAATATAGTGTACCAACCCTCGGCTTCCGCGCCTGTTGTATTTCAGTCGCTGTATTTCTCTTGTGGCCGGTACTCGACCCGTGCTTTTGTTAGTGTTTTGAACGGGTGGCAGATGACCGCACGTGCTGTGCCGCTCCTCCCGTCTGCTTTGACCTAGGCTGGCCCTGGGAGCTGCTAGGGCCCATGGAATGAGGGGGAAGTGACCGTGCAGGGCCTCGGTCCAGGTCTCAAGGCCTGGTGGCGGCTGCTCTTGCTTTCTGAGAAGCCTGTTGCCGTGTGAACAAGCTCGAGCAGCCTGTTGGAGGATGAGAGACCACACGGAGCAGAGGCAGCGGCCCCAGCTGAGTTCCCCCTGGACCAACGAGCTCCTAGTCACCAGAGAGACCAGCCAGGCTTTCCTTGACCTTCCAGCCGCAGAGGAGCCAAAGCCACTAGCTGACTGCAGAGGTCAAAGTCGCCCAGAGAGGAGCCACCCAATCCAGGCCCAGGATCACGAGCAATAATACAGTGTTTTGTCTCTGATTGGAGGGCGGTTTAACATGTGGCAAAAGCCTTCCTCATAGAGTTATTGACCGGGTTAATGAAGCCGCCAAGGCAAAGCAGGGGTTGCCAATCGCAGCCCACTCAGAGTGGCATACGGTCTGGCCAGCGGCAGCTGCCGTCCCCCAGGGACAGGGACACTGGCACACCCCCCACCCCGACCATGCTGCCTGCTCACTGCGCGAGTCGCAAGGACAGGAGTCCAGGGCGCTGACACCGCCATTTGTAAACGTTTCGGAACTTTATTCTGCTCAAAAAATAGACATTGAGCAGATACTGTGTGCTAAGAACTGGATTAAAAGATTAAGGGTTCGTGCTGCGAGCTCCTCCTAAGGCACCGATCTCGTGTCTTCAGAGCAGCGGGAACTCTGGCTGTCCTGGCGATGGGGAGAGGGCAAGGAGAGCCCCGTGTTCCCAGAGGCCCCCAAACGTGGACAGCCCCGCACCTCCCTCCTAGGATGCCAGTGTGTGTGGGGATGTTTGGTTGAGCCCTAAACCCAGAAGTCTTTTACACATAAAAGCCAGTTTTAGTGTGTAATTTGGGTCAACCCTTTCTGCCGACTACGACTACGACGTATCTACACCACTGTATGGGGGAAATTTGCATCTTTTAGCCCGTGGCCTCAGGCCGTTCCACTGTGCTGGACCTGCCCTTGGTGGCTTTCATGGCCTCGTGAGCTCCCTTCTTTTAATGAGGGCCTTTCAGCCCTGATCCCAGCTGCACGTCAAGCAACAGCTGGGACAGCTGTCCCTGGTACTGACCTGCCAGGTGCCCAGTGCTTGGCGCGGGAGTGTCTCCGGCTTTGCCTTTGCTTCTGTGTCTCAGGGCGCGATTGAAGACAGAGTTTCTGTGAATTGGTTTGGAGTGACGGGGTTCTTTGGCTTGGATCTCACCCGCGAGGGGTGTCTTCTCCTCGGAGAGCAACTCAGGTGTCACCTTGGCGGGTTCATCAGGAATTTCCCATGAACCCCCTGCCCATTGCTTCTGGGGCTTTTGCAAATGGTCACAGTTGCTGGTCTCCATGCAAATAGGGCTGATCGCTTCTCCACGGGCTGACCGGGGATCCCTCCCCGAACTGCACCAGGGCCGAGAGCTTTAGACGAGAAAAGAGAACAATTTTCCGTTAGGATCATCAGGCTCAGTGTTCCATTCAGAGGATGTTTTCTACTCCCATTCAGATTTTATGAAATTTGGGATAATTTCCACATCCTGGCAACCACATCTTTATCAATGAAAATTAGAGTTTAACCACTGCAATTTGGATGCATTCATGAACCATTTTATAATTGAGGCCTGTTTATCCTATTCATAGCATGCACTTTGGGGGAAAATGCTTAGAGTGGCTTGTATGCCTAACTTTTAGGCAAATGCTTTGTGAATAATTCAGTAGAAGAGGAGTGGGCCGCGGGAGAGGCCAGCCCGCAGCTTTGACTTCAGAGCTGCCCAAAGGTGGAGAGGCTGCTTGGGGGACAATGAATTTGCTGTCACTGGAGGTGGCCAGGCAGGGGTTGGGGAGAGTTTAGGATTCAGTGATTCCAACATCTCCTTCCCTCTCCTTTCCTCGCTCCCGAGGCCTCCCCCCTGGGTTCGCTCCGATTCTGATGCCGAGGCTGAGGGTTGATCTGGGGACAGCAGTGGCAGGGGTCCCGTGGTGGGGTGGGTAATGCAGGCGTTAACTCGGGGTTGGGGCTGGTCTGTGGAGGCCTCTGAACTGGTCAGGGAGTTCCTGCCGCATCTTTGATGATCGGGAGGGAGGAGGTGGCAGGGTCCCGAAACTCTGGGCCGGCTCGCCTGAGGGGCCGGGCCGAGGGCAGGCACTGCACAGGTATCACCAGGTGTGGCGGGTGAGTGCCTACGCGAGGGTGGAGGCTGGGGTGGGGACCATGTGCCAGAGGAATGACAGGAGTGTGAGTCACAGTGATTTATGGAGGAGCAAGGAAGGGGCCGCCCCAACTCGGGAGGTTCGGTGGGGGCGGGGCCAGGGTGACTGGGCAGGCCGCTGCCCCTCGCTGTCGGTGGGGGACGTGGGAGCAAAGCCAGCTTGGCACAGGAGCCCTCAGGTTCTGGGGACGCACAGGTGGAAAACCTCCCGGGAGAGCTTGCAGCGGGGAATCCTCGGCTGAAGCCACCGTTAGGAACCGGGCATCTTCCTGCTCGGACCACGGGCACCTGGGAGGCCTCCCTGCAGTGGGCATGGACGTGGCTGCCTCTTGGCATTCTCGCTTATCATTATCATCATTCTCGTGATCATCACCGTTACGATCTTAGGCAGCTTTTTTGAAGCAATCGAGGCATAATTTACATCCAGGAGAACTTGCCCTTGTTTGTGTCTGGTTCCATGAGTTCTGAGAGCACACACAGTGCACGGAGCCAGCACCACCATCGAAATGTTGGACAGTCCCTCACCCCAGAGCTTCCCGGTGCCCCACCGTAGTCAGCTCCCACACCCCAGCCCCGGCGACAGCCGATCCGGTCTGTGTTCCCAAGCCTGCCTTCTCCTGACTGGCGTGTAGGGGGAACTCCGCCGTGTGCGGCCTTTGGCGTCTGGTGCGCTTCGCTTGGGGTGATGCCTGTCGGATTCATCCGGTGTATCTGTGTGACCCTGGTATTTCCGCGGCGGTGCTGTGACCTCCCAGGGTGGGGGGTGGGGCAGGGCTGCATGATGTCCTGGGAAGGGCGCTGGGCCGGGAGTCAGGGGATCTGGGCTCGAGTCCCCATATCCTGCTGCCTGTAATGACCTACTTGTCTTGGGAGGTGAGGGCCCCAGTTTTTCTCCCAGGAGACGCGGGGCTGGGCAGGCGTTCTCTGGGGCCCCTCAGCTGGCGCTCAAACTCTGTGCTGGCAGGAGGCTCCGAGAGCCCTGGGCGGGAGTGTCGGGGGGAGCGCCCTCAAACCACCCCTCTCCTGTTCTTCCAACCAGTGGGCACTGAAACCGCGAGAAACTCTATTCCAAATCACACCATTTTTAAGACCATCACACACACACACCCACCCCAAATTTGTTCAGCTCTGAAAAACAGCTCTAATATCACCTCAGTTATTGCCTATTTCAGGCAAATGTGTTCCAAATCTGAACTATTTCTATAATCGCTCCATTTCTTCCACACCCATTAGCTGCCAGAAGCCCAAGAGCCCCACCCCCACCCTTCCACCGTTTATCCGAAGCTCCCCCGGGGCTTTGAGCCCATAGGTGGCTGCCCGCGGAAGTCCACAGGGACCGCCTTGTGATTGGAAGGGGGTGGGGCTGTGGTGGGGCTGCATTTGCATAAATCATTCATTCAGTCTCTCCCTGCCTCCCTCCCTCACTCACACAACTTCGTGGCTGGTCCGCGTCTCGGTTCCCCCCCTGCCCAGGTTCCCTGGAACCTCCAGCAGGGCAGGGCTGCGTCTGCTCTGTTCGCTGCCCCCTGGCGCTGTGACAACCACCCGGGTCTGGCTGATGAGGAAGCGGCAGGGCAGGGAGCTCGGGTCCCTTGTGCGGGGCCTGCGGCGGCGGGGGGCATGGCAGGGCTGCGCACCTCATCTGCCTGGCTCGTTTCTTGGGGGCCCGATGCTCACGGGATGTGGCCAAGAGACGCTTTTGGGAGAGCGGGTTGCAGGCTGCCCGTGGGAGTCGGGCAGGAGCGGGGGTTCTCGTCCACTCGCTGGGGGCCAGCCATGTGGCTTCGGGCGGGCGTGCGCGGGCCGGAGTGAGTCAGTCAGGGGCTGCCTGGGAGGTGGGGCACATGCGAGAAGGTGGTAGGGACAGGGAGCTGCCGCCAAGCCGGCCGTGGCCTCCTGGGCCAGCTGCCTGGGGCAGAGGACGGTGGCACAGTGGGCACAGGGTGGCACACGCGCCAGAGCAGGACTTCTCAGAAGGTAACACACAGGAGTCGCCCGGGCTCCTGTTAGGACACAGACGCTGACTCGAGAGGCCTGGGGTGGAGCGAGGGACGCCTCCACCGTGAGTCCGCAGACCAGCCTTGAGCCAGGGCCTGGGGGAGCAGAGTGGGCATGGAGTGGGCGCGGGGCCACCAGGGTCCCCAGCGGCTGCCCCACACTGGCCTGATCTGGGCAGCATCACCCCGGTCAGAAGGAAGTGCCAATGGGGAGCAGAAGGCAGAGTAATGTGGGAGGCGGGGGGTCAGGGGAGGGATGGGCGAGCAGGTGCTGGCCCTCTACTGTCCCCTTCTACCTCGTTCAAGGGAATGAAGTGGGGATGGGAGGGGAGGCGGAAAATAAGAGAAATGCGGGGCTGGGGGTGTGTAGGAATCTGGACGAGGGAGCTGAGCACCTCCTGAAGCGGGACCCCCTGGGTGCTGAGGAGGGGGTGCTGTGAAGGCCAGGCCGGGCCTACCGATCAGGGCCGTGGGACGGAGCAGACTCCAGGGAAGGAGGCGGGTTAGGAACAGGGGCGTCCTCCTCAGGACCCCCCGGTGACCCCCCTCTGTCGTCAGGGAGGAGGCCCAGAGCAGCGGTGGCTGGGGGCGGTGTTAGCTGACCAGGGGGGCGGGGCGGGGCATGGCCTGGAAAGGTGGCCTGGATGTCACCTTAGCTGTGGCTGTGACAGCAGGAAGGGCTGGAATGCTGGCAGGGAGGTCTCCAAGGAAAGATAGGGCCCCTGCGAGGCAGGCAGGCCTGGCTGATCCCAAGTCACCTGCAGCGTTTCAGCTTTCATCCCTGGCCCAGCCTTGGTGCGGCGGCCGCCTGCCAGGTAAGCGGCAGCGCCTACCTGGGGTTAGGCACAGCACGGGCTTTTTGTCTGTTTGTTTTGGTAAAGCAAAAAAGGGTAGGCTGTAGAGCAGGGTTTTAGGTAGCAGAGGGGAAAACGGATGAAGTTTCTGGTTTGGGAGAAAAGTCAGAGCTGAGAAAGCTGCCCCAGAGGGTGCGCTGCTGTGTGGTGAGGATCACGTGACCACCGTGGGAAAGGTGGGAGCTGCAGGTGAGCACCAGGGCCACAGCTGACGCCCTGCCCTGGAGGTGCCGGTTTGGGGTTCTTGAGGGACACAAGGGAGAGGAAGGGAATGGGATACTCAAAGGGAGGAGAGAGGATCCCAGACGAATGTGAGGGGGAAATTCAGGAACTGGGGGACAGGGGTGAGGAGGGGCAGGGTCACAAAGGCAAAGCTCAGGCCCCCGCTGGCTCTGAACCTTGGGAGAAGCCCCCCTGCATCGCTGGGGGCGGCATCAGCTTCGGGGATGTGGTGAATCCAGGGGCTGATGGAAGGCGTGTGGGTGCCTGTAGAACCAAGACTGTGGCCCAGTGCAGAGAGCAACATGTTTGGTGCCTAGAGGGACAAATAGAGATTCTCTTCCCAGGAGCAGGAAAGACGCCTGCCTAGAAATACCTGGAGGTGGGGGCGGGGGGATGGAGTAACTGCAGGGGAGGGGTTTCCAGGTTCAAGGGAGGAAGGCTGGGCGGAGGCCTGAAGGAGGCCCAGAGCCCGCTCCCGAGGCCAAGTTCCAAACTGGATTGGCCACCGGCTGCTGGTTCCTGAGGGAGGAGAGTAAAGGTGCACCTGGGTTTCCCTTCAAGGCTGTTAATACACTGCGGAGGGAAGTGGGAATCTGGGGGAGAAGCTGGGCCTGGGACCGGAGGGAGATGGTGCATTTGGCGGGAAGCCAGACTTGAAAATGGTCCAAAAAGAGTCCGAACTCACCAGAAAGCAACCCGGAAGGCTAAATACTAATTCCAGCAACGACTCACTGAGCAGAGATGTAATGGGAGCAATTTCCCACCCAAAAAGCGTCTCTCTAGAGGCGAGAGCGCCGTGACACTGTAGGATAAAGGACATTCTCAAGGCCACGCGGCTGCCCAGTTCCCGCCGGAGGAGTCCCGGCCTCACTCACGGGGCTGGAGCCGGTGGTGCCACCAGCAGGTGTGCGTGCTGGCCGGCGGGGACACACACAGAAGACGGGAGGTGGGCCAGGCGCAGTGACAAAATTCATGCGTAAGATGAAATAGGCTGCAGTCGACGAGCGTGACAGCACCCGTTTCCTGATGACACCACATAAATCGGTGAAATTAACTTTAAATCAGGGAACCAGACAGTGGCATAGAGGGGCTGGGCACATTTCCTTTTTACAGGAAGGTGTCCAAATGCCAGAGAGTGG